TATTTTAAATTATAAATAATAATGATTATTAGTCATTAAATTTCAATTATCAATTACATTTAACTAGTTAATCCAAACAATCCCTTAGTTTTTTTTTGTTAGGAATGAGGGAGCCACGGAGTAATTAATTTTGGGCAAAATTATAACCTTGGAAAAAGCCTTAAAAAGAAAGGGTGGGTACAGTTCAATTTTAATTACAATTAAAATTGAATTGCTGTTTAACTAAATTTTTTGTTATTAACTTTTAATAACTATTAATTAAACCAAAATTGTTGGGTTTTTCGATTTTAGTCTCTTTTTTAAATAACTATTTGGTTTGGTTTCAATTTAAAATTTAAAAAAGTCAATATTTAAAGCGAGAATGAGTGGAAACGGGAGTGGAGGGCCTACAAAATTTCATAAAGCATTAAATTTAAAAAATTAAATTAAAAAAAGGCCCAAATTTTTTGAAAATGGGTGAGAAGGCCTAAAATGATTAAATTTCAAAAAAAAAAAAAGTCCAAAATTTAGGTTACGCTCTACCTAATATTAGGTTTTCGGTTTTTTATACCTCAACACTCAAAACTCAAAACTCACCTGATTGAGATTTGGTTATAATCAAAACTCAGTTAAAGAAACTCAAAATTGAGTCAAACCTAACCCACCGATTGTAACTTTGGTCGATTTCATTTTTTTTGTTTTCCCATACATTTTTCTACCCACACCTATTGAAAAAGTGAAGGCATCTCTTTAGGTCGGAATGGGAAGTGACGGGGAATGGAATGGGATTGGAGGACGATTGGTGGTGGTCAGGAGATAGGACAATTAGCCTGTCTTGTTATGAAGACTTTCCACTTCGCATTTCACTGTAGCAGTGTGATGCTCACAACTCATAGGAAAGATTGACGTGAGATTCCTAACTGTCTTTTTGCACACAATCCATTTTTTCCCCACATGATAAGTGAAAAACTAAAGTTTTCCCATAATTTAATTGAAAGATATGTTTCAATGTTAGTATTGGCTATGTTGTAACATTGATTACTTATTCCATATACAAGGGATATATGAGCTAATCACTTTGGTTGTAAGCAAGATTGCTTTCGCACAACACTTTTTTAAAATATTGTTTTGTATATTTTTAATAATTATATGTATATACACCATGTTTTAAGACAATTATCAAATACAAAAAATTAATATGTATAATATAGTATTAATAAGAATTTAGTTAAGTTTATAGTTATTAATTTAAAAATATTAATTTTGAATCAAAATTAAAAATTTAAATTTTTATAATATCAAATGATTATCTTTATGTGATGAAAAAAAAAGTACTATATAATATAATTTTTTTAATAGCATAATATGAAAAAAGTGACCGCTATGATATTACGCAACAATTGCAAGTGCAACCAAATATAAATTCTTATGTTTAATGCATGGAGTGGACAACACGAAACCCTTTTCTCCATACTCTTAAGGCATTTCCATTTCTCAAGGCAAATACACCTTTTATCTTTATTCTGTTCTGGGGTTCCATTTGTTGTAAAAAAGTAGAACTCATTGATGCCAAAAGAAAGTAGAACTCATTGACTCAAGCAGCACTTGCTATTATCTTTTATCTCCAACAACATTCCAAATGAATATCTTGTATGCTAAGGCCCCCCTGGAATGGAGTCTTCTTTTTTTTTTTTTTTTGAGTCTTCATTATTGGGTTTTCTCTTACATTACTAACCTTTTCAACTAACTCCCTTCCTTGGCGAAAAGGTAAAAGCTTAAGACAAAATGATTGTAGCATTAAAATTAACATTTAAGGCAGTTAAATACTACTTGCCATTAAAAATTTTGAATGCCAACAAACAAGACTAATTTCAATTGGCATTATGCTAGTAAACAATGATTAAATCCGAAAAATAATTGAGATATTGACATGTTAACAGTAAGAAAAATTATTATCTTTAGTGTGTATTTTTGTCACATTAGAGATGTGTAATAAGAATAATGTAATATATATATGTATATATTGAGATCCGTGAATTGAATAGGCCAATTTTTTCGGTTCAAAATGATGTCTAATTAAATGCATCTGCATTTTGATATTTACTTGGGGTTCCACCAGTACGTTTTCCGCCCAATCATCTTGGAGATGTAACAAGACAAAATCAATGGTACACATTGATTCATTGGCTTATGCAAATTCATGACTGTCATGCACATGGTAATAATTAATATGTACCATTGAATTGAATGGAATAAGCTCCTGAACTTCAATCCCTTCCTTTACGTTCCCAACAATATAATTAAAAAATAAAGAATAGAAATAATTTTCATGCATTGCAAAGTATAT